TCACCACAATTGTAACACATGCGAGTCTTCTATCATACCTGAGCTCAAGTCAGCCAAAGCTGATGAAGCACCCGAAAGTCTACTTGGCTCAGAGTGTAGCTTCATGCGACTCTCCTCCTATATTATCGCAACAATGGTCTCATCGAGTGAAGGGATGGTCACCTGAGCTAGAAGGAAAGATCTCCTTTGATCAAAGGTCGAGTTCATATAGGCCAAAGACTGTTGCATGGTCCTCATCTGTGTAAGGATCTCCCGATTCTTGCACTCCAGATCGTCACAACTCGACATTAGTGAGAAGTGAAAAAGATATACCCACAACAACTCTAGCTCCATGGAGTATTTCTGAATTGATTTATCAACTTGAACCACTAGCTCTCTCACGCTGAATCTGGAACGCCCTCATGTGGTTCTCAACTCCAACATAGTTCTTCAATTTTGCCCAGATGTCGCTCACATTTTGAATGTTATCTACTGATGATGTAATTGATGGACCCATCGAGTTGAGTAGTCAGGTGTGAATCAAAACATGTGTGATCCTCCACTTATCCCTCTCAGCACTGACAGTTTTTGGCTTAACCCCGTCAGTTGTCCCTCTAATGTCTTCCCTATTAGAGCAACCTCGATCTGACGTGACGAACTCAGATATCTGGTTGGTCATCAAGTTTCAAATCCACAAAAGGGTGATCTAGCTTCACTCTGTTGGAGCATATGCTGAGGTAGCGGCTCCCGTCGAGATGTCAGCTCCCTGTATGAGCCCCACCAAGACATTAAAAAATTCATGATCTATCCTCCCTAGAAGTTCCAAACCTTTACCTCCTCACCATCTTCGTCTCCTGACATCCGCAATTTAACTAATATTCCCAGTCTTTCCTCTCACGCACGTAGAACCAATGTTCTCTACTCCATTCTAGTTTCACTTGCGCTTCACCCTTGCCCTACATCGAGATGCTCGAACCACTCTGTCACGATCCAAGAATCGAAGGTGTCGTCAGTTTGGTCCTAGGGCACGCCCGAGAGCGTCATCTGCTTCCCAACTTGTTGCAACCATGAATGTATCGTGAGCGTTAGTAACCATTCTAATGTGATTTTGTAGTTGTCGTCCTGGTTAGTTCTAATCGTGACTGTATCGTGAGGTTTCAAGCCGCGATCCCCTCGTTGTTGTCCCACTTAGTTATAATCGTGAATGTATCCAATGTTTTACGTTGTCATCTCCTCGTCCAATTAGTACTTGATGTGGTTGCTTCGCGAGGACGAAGCGAAAGGTAGAGGAAAATGGGAATTTTGGGTATATACATGCCCATCCCAACACCTCAGATTGAGCAGCACTAGCGATAACTAAGGTTACAGCTCTGATACCATAAAGAAAGAATTGTCAAAAACCCTAATCTGTACATTCATCATATGGGCTTAAATAGTGTATGATAATGTTTTACAAATAAACCCCTAGACTTCTTCAATATTTCATTTTTACCAATAGGACCCTAAATAAGGTTCAATTCTCAACACTGCTCGCAGCTAATACACCATCCACGAAGCTCAAACCCACCTCGAACAAAAGTTGGATTCTCTAAATGTTGAATTGCAAGCCTTTGTGACAAAGGTCTGGGAGTGAACTTCGCTTCATCAGGAGCGCGAAAAGCATTAGGTTGGCTACCACACCAGCTGTCGTGTCACCCACACCAAAGATTGGAGATGCCACCGTGATGGTTCGAGATTGGAAGCCATCCCCCCATTTATGATTTTCACCTCCAATAAAAACTATTTGAGAGGCATAATTTGATAGGCAAAACCTTCCTAATCTGAAAGACATCAGGTGTCACATTCAGAACGCTCTTTAACAATGCTTTCGGCACTAAAGTTTTCAGGTAACATGGACCAAGGACAATGGCAGACAACGGTAACCAGCTCACTATGCTGCTCACAGCTAGGACACCATCCATGAAATCCAAACCCACCCCGAACAGAAGTTGGATTATCTAAAT